ACCAGTTGTAGCTACAGACTTCTTCACAACACCGTTATCATCACACAATTCGGAGTCTGACATGGAGTTTTCATTTAGCTTTTCACTGAACTTGCTCACCGGTTCACAGTTCACTTCTGTATGCACCTCTTGCACACGTGTAATACAAAACCGTGTTTTTCCTGCATCTTGTAACTTATCTGTTGAGGATGTACTACGAAACCTGTTACACTCACTAGGTCTATATGCATTACTATACATCATGGAGTCTTCTCGATATCCACCTCTCTGAGGCCTACTCGTCATCAATGATTGCATTTTGATCTCAGACTGCTCTATTCTAGGGGTGAGATGTAATAGACTGGCGAACTTGCTCATAGATTCATTGACACTAGTATTTACCAGTTTCAGGATATCATCAAACTTTGGCTCGATACCCTCATCCTCCATACGGGAGCTTATCTTCACCCACTTCCTTTGCAGTCGAGTAGGTAGACATCTTGCTATTACTTCTAGTATAAAACTCGAGTTGAGATCACTCATGCGATTCATCGAAATCATTGCATTCTTGTAAATTAGCAAATTATCTAAAAACTCAGTGAGTGCCTGGGAGTCATCCTGTAATTGACCACCATTACCCTTAACAGCCCCGAATAATTTCCCTGCAATCATCGAAGGTCTTCCAAACCTTTGACGTAATATGCTCATAGCCTCGTAGTAGCCCTCTTTTGGCTTCATAAACGTACAGCACTGTATAGCTCTTGCAGCATCTCCAGTGCAATATCTCATCAAATATATTAACTTCAATTCATCATTTAATAGAAAACTACTCAGCATGATCTCAAACTCCTTTACAAATTGTAAATAATCGGCCGGGTTTCCATCAAAACACCGTGGTTCAAACTTAGGGAGTTTGATGTTCCTATTATCCCTGAACGGCGAAACAGTAACATCAACCATGTCATGCTTAACATCAGACACATCGTTACAAGTAACAGACAAGTCACCATGACTTACTTTCCTGTTTCCATCCATGACACTCTGTCCCTTCTTTGACCCAGGCATTGTTGAACTTGACCCAATTCCAAAAACGTTCCAGATATTGCTTGTTCAAAGAGGACTTGACCGGCATCAGGAAAGATGAACGGCGACTATCCAAACTTTCACCAACTGTTTGAATCTGCCGGATCTGTTTCTATCGTCAGAAACTGTCAATCACGTCTCATAAACCGTTAATGCCCAGCTCTCGCTACGCTCGGGCCCACGCTGTTCCTTGAAGATTTCAGAAACGCTTAGTAATAACGGACGAAAAAACCAAAACACCGATTGGCCGCTTGATATTTCTTTATTGTTACACCAACATATAAAAAGAATAAGTGAACTAAGGTCTGAAAACAAATATTACAATAATAAATCATTGTATTACTTCTGACGATGTTTCACTCTTCTTTCTGAACAGCGACCGATGAGACGATGACTGCCGTATTGATGCCTCCGCGAAAATTGGGGAAGTTGATTTTAAGCAAACAACCAAGAATTGATCGTTCAATCTTCAACTCCATTGACAGAGAATATACATTATTATTATTATTTTGGGGACCACTCCTCATTATTCAGCATACGCTGTCGTTGCCTCAAGCTGACAATGAATGAAAATGATGATTTCCTTACTCACGTTGGCACAGTCAACCGAGAATGTGAGAGATTTCGACTCAGGTCCTTAACAGATGATCAATTCAAAGCCTTGGTTCTCATATGCAGTCTTCTATCTCCTCGTTTGACAGATATCCGAACTCGACTGCTCAATTAGCTAGAACAAAATCCTAAGCTAACTCTACATGACTTGGCTGACGAATATCAACGGCTGATTAATCTGCAGAAAGACACACATCTGGTCGAATCAACAACTTCGAGAAGCTCTGATATTCATGCATTACGAAAGAGAAAAAACCTAGTGGTCTTCTGATTTCCATTTTTCTTGCGTCAGGACTATTTAATTCTCGACGAGTACACAATACTTGGTCATCCTGGTACACTCCTCCTCCTCTGGTTGAAATGACGCTGCCCAGATAAGTAGGTGTATAAGATGACTTCTTTCAAATTCCTCCCCTTGATGGCAATTAGTATGAGTATGTTGGTTCGGTAACTTCCTCACCTGTCTTCTGCATATCCATTTGAAGTCCTGTATTGACTGCTTCTTCTGCCGATTTGTTGTTTTACAGCTGTAGACATTCGGGTTTGTGTCAAATTAGGCATAAACCATCCACGAATTCCAGATCTTCCAGTGTCTTCTTGTTCATCCAACCTATTCCTGTCTTCTCGAACCCCACAGTCTGTCGCATCATCCAGTCTGCCACAATCTGGAATATCATCGGTGATGCTAGATAGCCCTGTGTTACCTCTGTTTTTACTTGAAACGCCTTCCCGAGCTTTCCACTGTGAATCACTTGGCATGTGATATCATCACGTCGATGTTGAATGAGGTTAATGAAGGTTTGGGGCACTCCGTAATGTTGAAGCAGTTTCCAAATTGCGTAACGCACAACGCTATGAAGGCCTATTGAAAGTTGATGAAGTTGAGGTGGAGAGTTGATTGCAATTCTGAGCTCTACTCGATGATGATGTATGGAGTTGCGATTTCACTGATGTCTATGGATCCATTTTCAGTGCTTTCGGGGGAATTCCATCTTGTCTTGCTGCCTTCCCAACTTTTAGTAATTTCATAGCATTGTAGAGTCCTGTTTTTGTCCGAGGATTGGCGCTCACTGATAGTTCCATGTCTCTTAGTAGTATTTTGGAACGAGTTGTAGATGATGGTTCGTTTGAAATGGTATGCACTCTATTTCCCATTTTTCTGCTGTTTTGTAATTGCGTTCACCTCACCATCTTGCAGTGGTTTCATCTGCGTTGACCTCTTCCTGCATAATGACCTGGTTTTCCGGTATGTTGTTGCAAAGTCTCGATTACCTGTGGCCTATTCCAATGCAGTTGACAAAGCGTCGCAAAAGTGTTTTTGTCTTTCCTAGCATTCTTCACACTCCTGTTCAGCGCGCTGTGGATTGAACTCGGCTTCTCCTTTGGTGTTTATCTATGCATGGGTTCGTGTTCTTTTTCACTATCCCTCCCTCTAACAGTGCTCACATATCTGTAAACACTTATTCCTTGTCCTCTTTCTCACTCTTAAGTCATTTGTAGATCTTCCCACACAGCTTCCACGCGGTTGCTGCCTATCTCCTCTGACCTTTTCCAGGTAGCTGTTGTGAAGATATCCTTTGTAGTGTCTTCCTTCAGCTACTCAACATTGATATTTAGTTGTGGCCTATATCCACCTTCTTTAAAAATCTCCAATGTAATCTTTCGCAACTGGTATATAAACATAAATCAGCTGTACGTCTGTGCTTGGAAATTAAGGAAATTTGGTAAAATATGTTAGATAAAATCGTTTCGAATCGTTGTCGCTCAACTGTGAACATCAGTTGCTCCAGCCTCTCGCTATGGGACATTTCATTCAACTAAATGTAATGAGGGAAAATGAGAATGTCTTACTAACGCGACTAGTTAAAGGTGTAGGCATTGTAATAATGAATCGGAAAGATTATATTGGCCAAATTCTAAGCACTGTCTGTGAGACCGAATTCCGGATATGTGGACGTAAGAATAAGAAGACGAAAATGTTAGAACAAGTCACATAGGCTCTGAAACGAACGATGAATAATTCATTATTGACATCTGGGTAACATGAAACGTCACGAATATATCTTGTATAAAGAAGTAGTTATATAAAAAATCTCCTTGATGACTTCCATCTGAATAATTGTCTCAGTGGGGATGGGTTATTTTGGACAAATAATATGCTCAATACTTCTGAGATTTATAAGTAAATGTGGTCATTGTGAACAACAAACTGATCGTGTTGTTGTTACAGTGACAACTGCGATTGTCCGTCACACAGAGCAAAACTAACTAGTAATTTACCATACTTCATATTTTATGAAGCGAAACCTTGGTAACCTATTGGGAAACTGGTCATCAGTTATCTGTGGAGATCACCAGATTTCGGAATTTTTGAAGGCAATGCCATATTTCTTTATTATTTGATATCATTTCTAACCTTATTCACTTATCTCCTAATTTTATAGTTTATTTCCCGGATGATTTTTCAATGTAGCTGTTAGGATCGCCAACATGGGTTGCGTGATATGCTTTCATTACTGCATGCTTCACACGTAGCAAGCCAGTTCATCTCTCTGGACAAAGCGTTTTTGGAAACTTAGTGTCGATAGATTCAGGCAGTAATCAAACTAAGTCTAGAGAATTATTCAGTGTATTTTAGTTCAGAGCATTTTCAGAAGTTGAATTTCCAGAATACATGAAATACTGCTTCGACAGTTTAGTTTCTCAAATACTTTTATTTTAAGAATTATCCACTTTTGCGTTGAGAATTATTTCTTGAGCCTTATAAGTGATTGTTCCTAAGCTAATGGTGCATATGGAGAAATATATCTTTTTCGACTTATGGAACCAGTTGGCCTTAATGAAAATTTTAATCTTCGAGTTATTATATCTTTAATGAGCTTTTTCTGTACGTATGGGTACAAGTGTGAGGGTGACACTTGTTTTTATGTACATGCAATTTCTAATCGCTCCTACAATTCATAAGAAATAGATGTTGAAAACCATTTCACTCCTCTGTTAGGATGGATCTAAAACTTTTATGTTCAATCTTCTTATTTGATCATTGCTGTGCCTGTGATACACTTATTGACTGGATAAAATTTTCTTTTTACTAAAACTGTGTGTAGATTTCTATCCCCATTATTCACCACAGTGGTTTATTCTGGTTGTTTAGTTGTATCTGCATATCCCTTAATTCATAACAATAATTATTTCTGAAGAAGTGATCAAAAGATGTATTCTTCTTCCACTAATCAGTGTTTTGCCAACCTTTATAATTCAAGTTACTAAATGACCAATGTGACCTCCTGTGACGTTTATTTGTTATTTTCTGCTGATTTTTGTAGTCTTCAGTTGAAGAAGTATCGGAACTCTGTTCACCAGCATCTCCTGACAAAACTCTGTTGACTTCAAGGTAATTTTAATAGAGTTTGTGATTAACTATGTATATTTCTTCTCTAAATAGTTGATTAACAGTAGTAATTGTTATTTTACATTTGTGTTCCTTTGCGTTTCTTCTCATTTAATCTTACTCAATTAAGATCCCGTCAGCTATGCTGCTGTACGAAGGCAATTAAGTGCATTCCTGTGGTGAGATTTCTTATTTACTATATTATACTTATTAAAGCACAAAGCTGATGCATTTTGGGTAGCAAGAGGCGTGCTACACAAAATTTTTATTGGATGAGGACTGGGATACTGCATGGATCCCCAGATTGAAGCATGGGGTTGTCTTCGGAGTCACACTTGTAGCCTTAGACTTGAAGTTTGATCGATAGGCTAGTTGAGTAGTGTCAGTAGCTCCGTTCCCTTGGTTACCGGTGACCAAGACAGGTTCATACGCCATTCGACTCATTCGAATTCTGGAGCCCATGTACACCACAGGTTTGGAGTCATAATTTTCTCACTCGTCAAAGTAGACCACTCTGGTTGTAATCGCCAGACATCTGCATTGACACTTTTCGCTCTTATGGAGAACATCCCGCGCAGCAAGATGTTAAGATGTGAATAAATTCACTCCGGTTGAATTCTCTTCTACTCCCAATTAATTCAATTATGTTTCTAGATATGATTATGAGCGATAGTTTCTGCTCGAAACGTCATGAGTTAATATTACTGTATAACACTTGGTGATTTGTCGAAATAAATTCTTGTGCATGATGGAGTTATACTCTACCACAGTGCCCAAGTTTTATACTTATAGCAATTGTATTTCTAGATATCTTATGATATACAGCGTTATGTATCAGTGCCATGATATCGAGTAAAATGAGGCAATAAAAGTGCCATAAATTGCGTTTATATTTTCACACATTTCACCGTAAACCTATTACACTACTGATGATCTCGCTACCAAACTATCGAAATGGCTATCCAGTGTGTAGATCACTGTGACCTGCCAACCAAGTATTATCTTGTCTGAATAAGGTTATTTGCAATTGAATTTCGTGTAGGAGATGTACTGTTCTGGGAGGTTAATTTGTTAGTTTTTTCAGTGGTTCTTTTTCACTGTATCCCTATCTGAAAATATTTTTTTTCAGTGGTTATGTTTTCTCGTTGAAGTCAGCAAGTCTGTATCATCGGCCCTGGTTATCCTTGTATTGGCTGAAATTCAGTGATAATTTTATCGTTCATTACAACGAGAACGGTAAAAATAATTATGTTTTCTATCAAGTGGCCTTAATGCATATCTCCGTTAATCGTAGCATTGTTGTCCCTTGCGGTGATGGTGTACTGACAAATTATATTCTTTACATGCCTTTTGAATGAGATATCGCAGTCAGCATTCTTCCGAGGTGCATAATATATATGCGCTATAATGTACTTTTACTGCTTCACATTTTCTGCACATGCGTCAGATAATATAGCTGCACAGTGGTATCTACACAGTGCGTTGGGACAAAGGTGGCAGTAAATTTGAGAGTCAGAAGTACATTTTTGTGTTTTCACAACATGATTGTAGTGTATTGGGTCATTTAGTGAAACGCTATTGTTTTCTCTGCAGGAGGAGTAGGAACTACGACATGTGGTAGTTGTAAGCATTCGTCCTATAACTGTACCATTGTTTTTAACTTTCTTACTTCCAGTAAATCATTATTTATTCCTTCCATACCTCCTCTGCTGCTAAGTAGTATGAATTACATTTTACTCCTTAAACACGACTTTGTTTGTTATTAAAGTTTAATTCACTTGATGTATTACTAATCTTTTTGATATACAGTAGTTACTTTCTTATGGCAAGACATTATCTGCTGTATGCGCATTATTCATGCGCCCGTTACTTTTGGACGCTGTTTATTCGTATACCTTGGTTCCGTAACCTCTATTCGCGCACCACTTGAGTGACGTGTATTGACTTTGATACATCTCTGCAAATTTTAGACGCACATTGACTGTGCCTTTTGACGGCATTCAACCACAGACACCTCACAATTGGGATTTGTATATTATATTTCATATTTAATATAGCACCACGATTGAGACAAATCCTGTGGTTTTGGGTTTTCCGCGTCATTCAAAGTGTGATTTTAATAATCATTTCATTATCGTCCCGAATTCCTTTTTCAAGAAATCCAAAATTATTGTGAAGTTGATTGCTATAAGGTTTAATTTACATGAACATAACTCAGACACATAATTGGAGGGATGTTATTATCTTAGTCGGAATAAGCACAAGTTTTTCAGACGGCATGGAGGACTTTATTTCCCAGTTTATACGTGTCAAGTCGCGCCACTTCACATGAGATAAAAGACTATAAATGCCTCGCCCCTATCTTTAGCATAAAAGAAACGACGGCACACATCCGTTACTAAACGGGATTCTCTGTATTAAGTACAGTAAGGATGAGTGGATGGTTGTTTGCTCAAACCCGACCCCTCCATATTTTTCGCGGGAGTCATCAATCCATCAGTCATCGTCTCATCGTTTGCTGTTCAGTGGGAGATCGAAAACTATCAAAAGTATTATAGTGATTTACTGTTATAACATTTGCTCTTAGACCTTGTGTAATAACCTTATTGTAAGTTACTTGTTGGCGTAAGAATAAAGGATTCTCGAGTTGCCAATCTGTGTTCTGGTTTTCGCGTTGGTTAATACAAAGTTTTTCTGAAAGTCTTTGAGTGACAGCGTGAGGTCCAGCTTGGCAAGAGCTGGACATTGACAGTTTATGAGAGTTGGCTGACATCCGGCAAGTTGGATTAAACTTCACCCGGTAACTATTTTCGTCAATAAGTTTTAATGCAGTCGTGTTATGTGTTTTCTGGATTGATACGAATCCTCACATACTGACATTTAATTTTGGTGTGCGGTTGGAGCGGTCCGACAGCGACACATTCTTAGCATATTGGTTGTAATCATTGATGTTTAAGGTGGACTTTGCCAAAATATCGCCATATTGAGCAAGGTGGGATAGTTACAGGGTCAACCACAAAATTGTATCAATATAGTTGAAGATTGAACGATCAATACATGGTTTTTTGCTCAAAACCAACTTCATGAATTTTTCATGGATGCATCAATACACCAGTCATCGTCTCATCGGTCGCCGTTCAGAAAGCACGTACAACCAGTCAGAAGGAATATCGTGAATTAATATTGTAATATTTGTTCTTAGACCTTAGTATATTATGCTGCTCATATGTCGGCGTTAGAATAAAGAATTCTCGAGTCGCCAATTGGTGTTTTGGTCCTTGCGTCTGTTAGTACTAAGCATTTCTGAAAGGCTTCGAGAGACAGCGAGAGGCCCGGCGTAGCAAAAGCTGGGCATTAGCGGTTTTTGAGACGTGATTGACGGTTTCTGTCGGGTTGGTGACAGTTTGCTGACGTTTGGATTGTCTGCGTCCTTCTTTCCTGGTGCCGGCCAAGTCTTCTCTGAACAAGCGTTATGTGGAAATTTCTGAAATTTTTGTTGCGTTCAATAATGCCTGGGTCAAAGAAGGGACAGAGCGTCTTGGAAGCAAACAGGAAAGTAAGTCATGTGACTTATCTGGTACTTGTAACGATGTGTCGGTTGTTAAGCATGACATGTCTGAATTACTGTCCCGCCGCCTAAGGATAATTGGAATATCAAACGCCCTAAACTTGAACCACGGCGTTTAGACGGAAACTCAGCTGATTATTTACAGTTTGTAAAGGAGTTTGAGGTCGTGTTTGGTGGGCTTGCATTAAATTATGAAATGAAATTGATGTATTTGGTGAGATACCGCTCTGGAGATGCCTCAAGAGCTATACAGTACTGTAAGCTCATGCCCCCAAACGAAGCATATACTGAGGCGATGTATATCCTGCGTCAAAGATTCGGAAGACCTTCGATGGCTGTAGGGAAATTATTCGAGGCTGTTCAAGGTAATGGTGGTCAATTACAAGATGACTCCTAGGCACTCTATGAGTTTTTGTATAATCTGTTGACTTACAAGAATGCATTGATTTCGATGAATTGCATGAGTGACCTCAACTCGAGTTTTGTCCTAGAAGTAATAGCGAGACGCCTACCTACTCTACTGCACTCTATTGCTAAGGCTCCTGAGTTCGGATGGCTTCTGCAAATGAGAATAAATAAGAAAGTAAAAACTTTAAAAAATAATGAAAAAAAGAAATAGAAGTTGAAAACTGCCTAGAGCCGAAGTTTAAATGCAAACTCCCGAATGAAAGTAAATGGTATGAGTCCGCTACTTCAGAAGGACACCTAACTGTATACTTCAGAAAAACATATATTACTAGGCCCTCGCTTTTCTTTTACATAGTTCACGCACTTTGACTTTTGTGTTTAACTCTTTTTCAACCTACATAAAAAGGTGAAATTATCACCTGCCTTTTACTCAAGCTGATAGTTCGCAGAAAAGGCTGTAGAATATCGGGGAAATAATATTTCTTAGAAAAAACAATAAAAGAATGATGAACCCTATGCCTGTTTTATATTTTGAATTATTAACACCTTTTATATAATTCTGCACCTGTCTGCCGGTTTTCTTGTGTCTTCTTCTCTTTTCAAAGATACTGCTTTCAACGAAGGTGCTGATACAGCGCTGCAATTCTCTACTTATTCGTGACATTGCTAGCTCACCTGGTGAATAACGGGATCATCGGTATTATAAAATCTGCTGACAAGTTCAAAGTGGGTCTCATAAACAACTGGAAATGTTACAAATATGATGTACTTACAGGTGAATTTAAAGTTTAATAGACTTAACAACTCTTTCTGAATGATTTACTGATAATTATTGTTCATTCTGCATCTCTTACGTATCACGTTAGCACCTGTACAGATATGCTACTTACCTTCCCAACTAACGCAATCATTTATGATTCCCGCGTGAAATTGACATGTATTTTTTTCAATCATAGTTTAGATATCACGCTATATCTATTTCCTTATTTGTACACTTCATTTTAAATGTTTTTCTCACATTTACCAGTATC